ATCAAGAAAAATTTGCAGTTATGGCTTTTGAGGAAACTGATTTTAAATTTGGAGAAATAACAGCTGGCGATATAGTTACACATGACTTTAAATTTACAAATAGAGGAGAGGTTCCTTTAATTATTAAAAGTGCTGTTGGGTCTTGTGGCTGTACGGTTCCAGAATTCCCAAAAGAACCTATTGCTCCAGGTAAAAGTGGGATAATTAAAGTTAAGTTTAATTCAACTGGTTTTGAAGGAGAAAAAAATAAAACAGTTACAATAGAAGCTAACATAAAAGAGCAAATTGAAAAAATTAATTTTACAGCAATCGTTAAAAAGAAATAATAAAATAATATATGACATCATCAATTTTTTTGCAAGCAGCAGGAGCTGCAAGTTCTCTTCCCACAATTATAATGGTTTTATTAATGTTTTTGGTTTTTTATTTTTTTATTCTTAGACCTCAAACAAAAAAGCAAAAAGAAGAAAAAAAATTTCAAGATAGTTTAAAACAAGGGCAAAAAGTGGTAACCACTTCTGGTATTCATGGAAGAATAACGCAAGTAAATGATGTTACAGTTGTGGTAGACACAGGAACGGGTAAAATCACTTTTGAAAAGGTGGCTATATCAAAGGATTTTACAGAAGCAAGAGCTAAAGAATAAAGCTTTATAATTGGTTTTGCATGAAGATAATTGGTTTAACAGGTGGTATTGGTTCAGGAAAATCAACGGCAGCAAAAATTTTTAATCAAAAAGGGATACCAGTTTATAATTCTGATGATAGAGCAAAATACCTTATGCAACATTCGCCAGAACTGAAAAAATCGATACAATCTTTATTGGGGGTCGAAGCATATCAAGAAAATGGAGAATTAAACAGGTCGTTTATCTCTAATAAAATTTTTTTAGACAAGACTTTGCTTCAAAAGATGAACGAGTTGGTGCATCCAGCGGTATTTGAAGATTCAGAAAATTGGAAGAACAAACAAAAAGAAGCGCCTTTTTTACTAAGAGAGGCTGCGATTTTATTTGAAAGTGGTGCTTTTCTTCTTTGCGATGCTATTATTTCTGTTGTTGCAGATGAAAATATTAGAATTGAAAGAACCATTAAAAGAGATGGGTTAACCCAGATTGAAGTACAAAACAGAATTAACAACCAATGGACAGACAGTCAAAGAATTGAAAAATCTGATTATGTGATTACCAATAATGGAGATTTAAATGACTTAAAAAAACAAGTGGAAGAAGTTTATGAAAAAATTATAAAAACTTTATAAACTTGATGTTTCCACAGTTGAATTTATTTTTTTAATTAATCCTTGTAAAGTTTTTCCATTACCACCCACTTCTATAAAGTGGGTAAAGCCATCAGTTATCATATTTTGTATGGATTGAGTCCATTTAACAGGTAATGTGAGTTGTGCAATTAAATTCTTTTTTATTTCTTGAATATCAGTTACAGCTGTGGTACTTACATTTTGGTATATTGGGCAAATGGGCAATTTAAAAGAAACTTGTTCAATGGCTTGAGCTAAATTTTCTCTAGCAGACTCCATTAAAGGAGAATGAAAAGCGCCACTTACAGGTAAAATTAAAACTCTTTTAGCACCTCTAACTTTTAGCTCTTCACAAGCAGCTTCAACAGCATTTATTTCTCCTGAAATCACCAATTGACCAGGGCTATTATAGTTTGCTGGAACAACCACTCCTTTGGTATTTTTACAAACTTCTTCAATAATGGTATCCTCTATACCCAATACTGCAGCCATTGTAGAAGGTGTTGCTTCGCAAGCTTCTTGCATGGAAAGGGCACGTTGGTATACCAATTTCAATCCATCTTCAAAAGAAAGAACATTTGCCGCAGTTAAAGCAGAAAATTCTCCAAGAGAATGACCTATAACTCCATCTGGTTTAAAATCCTGGTTAATTTTAGCTGTAATTACAGAGTGAATAAAAATGGCAGGTTGTGTAATTTTTGTTTGTTTTAATTCTTCATCAGAACCTTCAAACATTACTTTTGTTATTTCAAATTCCAGTACTTCATTGGCTGTATCAAACAATGCTTTTGCCTCTGAAGAATTGTTATATAAATCTTTTCCTATGCCCTGAAATTGGGCTCCTTGTCCTGGGAATGCATATCCTTTCATGAAAAATGAATTTCTTCAAAAGTAAAAATTATCTTTAATTTTATTGTAAGAATTCAGAAATAAAAATTTTGCTTTAAATCAGAGAGAAAATGTCTCTAAAAAGTGGAGGGAAAAGATGTACTTATTTTTTAGATAAGATTATAATTTGTTTTTTAATTCTAATAGGTGGTTAATAGAGTCAATATTTTTCTGAATCTTAGTTTTACTATGATTTAAAAAAATGGTTTTAATACCAAAATCATTACCACCCTTTATGTCTGCTATCAAATCATCTCCAATGTATACAGAATGTATCTTTTTTGCATTGGCTTTATTTAGTGCGTGTTCAAAAATTTCAGGTTTTGGTTTTCTAATGTTTATTTCTTCTGCGCTGGTCCATGTTTTTATAAACTTAATAAGGTTGGATGTTTCAATTTTTCTTTTTGTGACTTCCATAAATCCATTGCTTAGAACATGAATTTGGTATTTTTCTTGTAAATAAGTCAAAAGTTCTTCTGCGCCTTCAATTAGGTAATTAAATTTCACAATTTCTTGAAAATAAATCTCTTCAAACCTTTCAGCTAGTTGGGAGTTGTTAATACCCACAGATGAAAAAGCTTCTTTAAAGCGTTTATCTCTAAGTTCTGATTTAGTAATTTTATAGTCTCTAAATAATAACCAGAGGTTTTCATTTATTTCATAATAATTTTCATAAAAAGTAATGAAGTCCACACCATGCAATTCCTTCACTTTATATTCCTTATACATGTTTAGGAGAGCATTTTTTGAATTTCTATTAAAATCCCAAAGAGTATTGTCTAAATCAAAAAAGACATGTTTTATCATGTATCAGAATTAGTGACTAGAATAATTGGGCGATTCTTTTGTTATGTCTATATCGTGAGGATGGCTTTCTTTTAAGCCTGAATTTGTGATTTGCACAAATTTTGTTTCTGTAGTAAGTTCTTGTATGGTTGAAGTTCCACAATAACCCATGCCAGCTTTAATTCCACCTGTTAATTGGTATATTACGTCAGAAATACTTCCTTTAAAAGGAACTCTCCCTTCAATACCTTCTGGCACAAATTTTTTAGCTTCAGACTGAAAATAACGGTCTTTTCCACCTCTTTTCATTGCAGCTAAAGAACCCATTCCTTGATAAGTTTTATATTTCCTTCCATTGTAAATTACTTCTTCTCCTGGAGCTTCTTCAGTTCCAGCAAATAATCCGCCCAGCATAACACAGCTAGCACCTGCCGCAATGGCTTTTACAATATCTCCAGATAATTTAATTCCACCATCTGCAATAACTGCCACATTTTTTGTTTTTGCATAACTGTATACATCATAAATAGCAGAAAGCTGAGGTACACCAACACCAGCAACAACCCTTGTTGTGCAGATAGAACCTGGTCCCACACCAACTTTCACCACATTTGCACCAGAGTCAATTAAATCCTTTGCGGCTTGTGCAGTAACTATATTTCCACCTGCTAAATCCAATTCTGGGAAAGAATATTTGATCTCTTTTATTTTCTTTAATACACCTTCAGAATGACCATGGGCAGAGTCTACCACCACAATATCCACACCCACTTTTACTAAAGACTCAACTCTTTCTAATGTATCATCACTAACTCCCACAGCACCACCCACTCGCAGCCTACCTTGTTCGTCTTTGCAAGCATAGGGGAACTCTTGTAAATTATCTATATCTTTTATTGTGATAAGTCCAATGAGTTTATTTTTTTCATCAACTATGGGCAATTTTTCAATTCTATTTTTGAGTAAGATCTCTTTTGCTTTCTCTGTGTCTGTGTTTATATCTGAAGTTATTAAATTCTCTTTTGTCATAACA